GCAGAAAACAAAACGTTAAACATTGTGATTTCAACTACAGCCATAGCTTAACTGGGTTCTATGCCGATTTGCGCTCCCCAGATCAACCCCGCTGACGGGTGATTGCTGTGGCAAAAAGATCGATAGAAATAGCTGAGAGACGTGCGAAACAAAGGACCCGCATGGTGTGGTGGTGAACGCGTTACTCCCCGGAAAGGATAATAGCGCGTTCGTTCCCCACCATAGACACCTGCGGTCCAGAGTTTTGCAAATATCTCAGCAACGTTGTGGTGGTCTTCACTAAATTCACCTGCCCTTGCTACGAATGCAAGGAAATTCTCAGATTGGTCTGGTACCAATTTGCCGACCCAAGAAGGGTGGGATTCTTGACTGTATCAAAGCGGGATAGAGCTGTTTTGCACAGCATTTCTGTCTCCTCACAACACACGCTCCCTTCCACAATTTTTGATACAAACTCAAAAATTTTATAGAATGACATCAACTATCGAACTAAACTTTTCTCAGAAAGTGTATCAACAAAGAAAGAAAGAAAGAAAGTGTCAGTACTCTATCAGCTTTATACCGGATCGCTTATTGTTCACTGGGCGTTAGTATGCAGGAATTTAACCAGTTAATCTAAGTTTTCTTTTGCTTACACCAAGAGAAAAACTCAAAGAGTCCTGGTTTCACATCACATAGCCATCTATATCACCTTGGTTTCGTCACGTGTAGCACAGTGGCCACAGGCTCCATGCAATAAACATTCCCATTGATACCGCGTCCCAGGCTCTCCAAGCCCCACATCCCTTCGAGGGCGGCACCGGCAAATTGGTAGCAAACCTATCTGGGTAAGCTAACTTATCAACCTACATCGTCAGCTTAAGAAGATCAGTTTATAAGATCACATAAATAAACACTCAATAACCTTTAACGATGCTTAATGGAGTCAGATGCGTAGCGCGTCCCCTAGGATTTCATCAACGCCGAAAGCTTTTTTAAAAATTATTTTAGTTCCTTTAATTAAATTATATCCAAAGAAATCGAGTTCTAAAATAGCTCAATATCCACTGCTCGCTTAGTGGACAAAAAGACCACCGTGCTCTTATACAAGTTTTTTTCTGGCTTTCTGACGAAAAAAAGCCACAGATAGCTCTGATAAGCCTTCAGCCTTTTTTGGGTATCCGAATAGACGTATTGAAATCCTCCACAGGTTGGATGGCCTTGCGCGCGTGATAAGCCATTCCGCTGTGGATTGAAGCTCGACACCGAAGAACTCTATTCAGGCACGATGAGTTGGTAAGCCACCGTTGGTCGTCACATCATACGATGGACAATCATTAGACGACTTTAGGACAACGGGGTTGTCAAGGTTGCACGATTCGAACCAATTATTATCTAAAATGCTACATTAAAATGAAGAGCACCACAAAAATTCTCACACTTCATCCACATTAAAATAGATTGTATCGGAACTTCAAGAGTTTCCTTCTTATTATTTTCTTCGCACCATGTAAAGTTAGATTGAAAACTCCAAGAAGGAGGAACGACAAGCGAACGACTTGTTATAAATAACAGCGAACTTTCATCCGTGAAAATAACTATTATTTTGAAAGTCCAGTGCAGTTTAAACTACAAAAATAGTCTTCAGAACTCCGAACCGCAGGTGTATGCGGTGGGCAACGAACGCGCTGTTGTCCTTTCCGGGGAAAATGGTGGTGAATGTGCTACTCCCCTGGAAGGACAACAACGCGTTCGTTCCCCACCGCATACACCTGCGGTCCGGAGTTCTGCAAATATTTCAGCATCATTGAAGTTATATTTCTCAATATACCCTGCCATTAAAAAAAAGAGTAGGCAAAAAATAATAAGTTAAAATTACAAAAATAGTGTTACTTCTGATTGCTGACGCTGAAACTCTGCTAGTAATTCGTTACAAAAGGTAGAAGACGTTGAAAGTTAATGACTAAGCTTTTAGATCGTGAGGTAGTCGATGGCATTTCGTGAATAGCTCGATAATGACAAAATTTTGAAAATGTAGTCGATTATTCGAATATTATTCAGTTGAATTAAATCCAACAAAGAATCGCAGGATTCGCTGTCATCCTGGGAGAAGCGGGTATTAGTAAGGCAGTAAACATCCTTACGAGCTAAAGAGAAACCACTAGTTGCCAATGGTGATAGACCATTCAAAACGCCAGTAAGGAGATAGGATCACGAACCATCAAGCTGTAGTAGAAATAACACATCAGTCTGTTCACCTCAAGTACGACTGATCACGCGTTCATATAGACATACATAAACACACATTAACGCACGTAACCACCTTCCCACTTCTCCCGCACCCCTACACACACACACACACACACACACACACATACACAGACACACACACACACACATACACAGACACACACACACACACACACAATCTTCGAAGGGCAATGGGTGATTAGCTCACATTCCATTGTCAATGATCCCAGCCGTTTGTTGCATGTACTGCTCGGTGGCACTCTCGTTTGAGTACAAACCCATTGGACTGTTGTATTGGAGGTGCTTCACTCTCGGATCGGTGTTAAACGGTAGTGCAGCAGTGTTAAAACCTTGCGGTGGTCGAGTCTGAAATCAATACTTTGAGTAAAAAAAAAGGCTGAAAACCTATCACAGCGCTTCTTCCCGTTGAAGAAAAAACTTTCTCCGAATAAAACAATTACTTCTATAATGCTGAGATCATTGCAAAACTCCGGACCGCAGGTGTACGCGGCGGGGAACGAACGTGTTATTGTACTTTCCGGATAGTAACGCGTTCACCACCACACCATGCAGATCCTTCGTTTCGGCTGTCTCTCAGCTAGTTCTATCGATCTTTTTGCCATCAGCAATCACCCGTCAACGGGATTGATCTGGGGTGCCCAAATCGGCAACGAATCCAGTTAAGTTAAGGCTTAGTTATAATCACAATCTTAACCTTTTTATTTGCTGCCTATTCTTTTTAACGGCAGGGTATGTTGCGAAACATAACTTCTATAATGCTGAGATTATAGTATTATATTACTATTATAATTATTCCCAGGATCGACTTTCTCTTAACCTCGGCATTGGAATATCAATGTGTCGTTTTCTTGTTCAGCAATCGCGAGGTTTTTAAACAGCATACATTTACTTCCATAAGAAAACAATACAATACAACGCTAGCTGAGGTTTCGGCAGTATCGCCTTCTTCAGAGCCGCTTTTTCTTCCGTGACTTCCAACGAGGAAGTTTAGAACAGCTGATTATAGTCGCATGTGGTTGACGACTCGTGGTTGTGGTTGACTGAGTCGTCAAGTTATATAGTTTTTATAGTTATATAGTTATATAGTTTTTTTTTAGTTTTTTTTATATAGTTTTAAATTTTTCCAGAGAGTTTTTCATCTTTTTGTAAGTGTCATTGAAGCTTCTTAAGCTGAGTCCCGCACATAACATCACGGCTCTGAGGAAGACGAAGTCGCCGAAACGAGCCACCGTTCAATAACATCAAAAACAACGACAATGTCATTGAAGCGTTTGGCCTAGAAGATTGTATATCAGTATACCCTTCCAGGCTCTGAGGAAGGCGATACTGCCGAAACGTCAGCTAGCGTTGTATTGTTTTGTGTTTTTTATGGAAGTAAATGTATGCTGTTTAAAAACCTCGCGATTGCTGAACAAGAAAACGACACATTATAATTATTATTATTATTTGCGATTATCTATAGCCTCAGCTTAACTGGGTGCGTTGCCGATTTGGACACCCCAGATCAATGCCGTTGACGGGTGATTGCTGATGGCAAAAAGATCGGTAGAACTAGCTGAGAGACAGACGATACGAAGGACTCGCATGGTGTTATGGGGAACGCGTTACTCCCCGGAAAGGACAATAGCGCGTTCTTTGCCCACCGCAGACACCCGCGATCCGGAGTTTTGCAAATTTCTTGGCATTATAGAAGCTATATATCGTAACATACCCTGCCGTTAAAAAGAATAGGCAGTAAATAAAAAGGCTAAAAACAATTACTTCTCAAAAATAAAGGGTAGGAAGGGCCGAAGGCTACAATGTGACAGTTCGCCTTCAGCTAATGTTCTCTACTGGCTCTCAAACTTTTGCCGTCCATTCATGGCTACCATGAAACGGTAAAAAATTCTCATCGATTCAAAATGTTAGAAAAGAAAGAAGCAAAAACGAAAATCACGGCTATTTGCAAATTAACGTTTTCTGAATAACTCGCGAAGTGGTAAACGACGGTATATGCGCCAATCTGGACGAGCTGGTCTCAGCTATTTCCACCTACTTCACATTACTTAAGCGTTTTTCGGGTTTACTGACAGATTTTTTCAATCATTGCCGTACTGAAAAAGTAGGTAACAACGGTAATATGTGTTGCTATTTTGTCAGTACACTTTTTCCTTTGAGATTTTTCTTGTACACGCTCGGCGTGGCGACAGTTCTCAATATTACACGATGTGTAACTATAGCGGCTCTGAAGAAGGCGATACTGCCGAAACGTCAGCTAGCGTTGTATTGTATTGTGTTTTTATGGAAGTAAATGTATGCTGTTTAAAAACCTCGCGATTGCTGAACAAGAAAACGACACATTCATATTCCAATGCCGAGGTTAAGAGAAAGTCGATCCTGGGAACTGTAACTATAGCTTTCCCTATAACGATGATGTGAGCCATCCATGATTCATACGCACAACTGTGTCACTTCCGCAAATAAGAATACTAAGAATTCACATTAAACTAGTTTTTCTCCTGTTTCGTTTTAAATCGCAACAGCGAGCTGCTGTCCGTGTTAATTTTGGTAGCTTTCACTGCTGACGAAATATAAAGGGAAATGCTAGTAGACTCATGGTGCAGAGTCGTTGCGATGATTACTACTGCAGATGAATAGATAGTTTAACTATTGCTTAAGCAAGGACGAAAATGCGAACGGTTAACGTAGTGATCTGGATCTGGACTACGTGGAAATCGGAAGATTTCGGAAGAATCTCAGAATCGGAAGAAGAATCGGAAGACTTACTATGTCCGAATCTCACCCTAATTGCCCAGTGGCTCGAACGTTGTTGTTCATTGTGGGGTTTAACTACCTGAAGAACACCTTGCACGTTAATTCTTACTTGACGATGAAAATCCGGAGGTAACCATCTGGTCTTAAAAAAACCTAAACAGGACAGGCTAGGATTTTAGCCTGTTACATGAAAGATCGAGGCCAGTTAATCATAATATAGCAACGAACGAAATAATTCAGATTATGAGTGGAGAAACAAATCAAGGAACTGAAGCAGCGCAAAGGTAGCACTGATAGTTAAAAAGAGTCACAATAACACTTATTGCATTCGAAAATCAACTAAGAATGGTTATAAATCTACTCTTGAAAGAAGTTCATCGTCAAAGCTCATCGAGACCGAGGAAGCATTTCTCGATTCTGACCTTGCTGCACTAATGTATTTTTGCAGAACTGATTTTCATTTTGCTGTTGAATGATGATAGGCAAGCATTCTGCACTGTACTTATACCGAAATTGTCGGCTTACAAAAAATAAAGAGAATTTCAGCCATTTCATGAATGATGAGAAAGACTTTCGGTTTTTTTCCCTCCTACCTCTCTCTCCCTCTCTTCTTCTCTCTCTTCAATTCTTTCTGAAGTATTTCAGTAACATTGGAGACAACCAATGTAAAGACATACATCGCTGTTGTGTTCCAGTGAGACTTTAAGCGGTCGCTCTTCGGCCTGTCCGCTATACCCGCGCTGATCTGTGATTTCAGGCCTCCAAATTCGAGTTTGACCGCCTGATGGATACCTGAGAACAGTTCAGTTACACAAAGAATAGAATAATGAAGCGCATATGGTGAATATTAATGGAAAATACATCATGTGAGAGAGCGCGAATAATAAACACTCAAAAAACAGCGAGGAAAAGTGGAAGGATCGAAAAGTGTAAAATACCTCTGTCATATTACCATGAAGATATACAAGTCATTGAAAAGAAGATGTCACGGTTACGGATTTCAGACGTGATCGAGATATTAAACTTTGAAATGAATAAAAATGAAACTGTGGTTGATTTGAATGTTGGCCTAAGTATTTAAATAAAAGGCGGAAAAATAAACAAAATTTGCCAGCCCAACGATAAAAGAAAGCGCAACCAACCGAGAAAAATAGAAAATACACTAAAGGTACTCGAACCCGATGAGTTTCCCTAAACGAGCACGAATGCCCAGAAGGCGGGCATAGAAGTGAAAACGCTCCAAAACCGAATACTGATTCAAAAAATAAGAAAGACCTGTTTATATATATATATATATATATATATATATATAAGATATACAAGATATTATAGAACTAGTAGTCTTCAATTCAACGAATTTTTATTTTCCAATAATAAAATAGGCAGAAAATCTATGAAAAATGAAAGCTTAGGTTGGTATGGCTTCATCTTCTTCACAGAACTCAACAAGGTTTTGCAGCCGATGTTATATGCACCATTTATCGCCTATAAAGAGAAAGTTGGTGATGTGAGAGATGTGAGTGAAGATAGAGGCACTGTTGGTGATGGTAGTGGTGTCGGTGGAGGATGGTTCTGGTGAACACGAGAGATTTCGTGTTCTGGGGTGGGCGGGACGAGTAGATGGGGACGCGTTCCCATTTACATATATGTGTGAATTAGACAGAACGAGAGAATGTTTAATCGTATGAACTTGTCGAACGGAACGACAATTCAGCAATTGATTGCAGTAATTGTAACTGCTGGTATGAGGTGATAATTGTCTGCATGGATGTCGTTCAGGAAGATCTTCACCTAACAAAGACATAAACGAACGTGTTTTTATTGGATAAACTTTCCCACACCAGAAAAAAAGCCCCAAAACTCTTCTATTTAACTAATTTCTCTTCCGTTCCGTCATTATTTGCCGCTTATTTTTGTTCGTTTTTCACTTCCTTACTTAGAAAGATAAAAGAGCAACTGGTATAAGCATAGTAAATAGATCGTAAACATATTATAACTACTGATTGCCTTCCATCATCACAAAAAAGGAAGAGAAAGAAGAACTGCAGAACTCAACTTGTATTTGTAGACTTCAGAAGGATGGGGAACAGTAAGCTTAGCAGAATTTCGAAAAACTTCATGGTCACGAGAAAAAGATGACTTAGCGGCTTATAACCTTCTGGGTTCGCTCTACTATTTAATTCTATAGATTTTTAACATCACGTATGTAGCCATTAACAGAATACAGCACCAATGATGCCAAGGTAATCTCATTTTGCATCTTTTTATTTACTGCCCATTATTTTTCATGACAGGGCATAATGTGGAATAAAACTACAATGATGCTGAGACATTTGCACAACTCGGACCCGAAGCTAGAGTCGAACTTGCGATTACCCTTTCCGGGTGTTTTCGCATGTTACATACTGAACCGTTGAGGCCCTTGCTTTGCCTTTCTCTCGGCCATCTTTTTGCTCTAAAGGTGCTATCAGCAATCACCCGTCAAGGGGAACGGTCTGGGGAGGATAAATCTGCATTGAACTCAGCTGAGCTAAAGAGAGATTCTCTTTAAAATGTCTTATAGATGAATTGTGTCACTTTTCGCTTCGAAACCAACAACGCTGCAGTCAAAATCACAATCTGTAACTTTACTGCCTATTATTTTTTCATGGCAAGGAATATCTCAGCATCACTGTGGCTCCTACGACAATGATGTTGAGACGTTTGCAAAACACCAGACCGCAGGTGACTGCAGTGGGAATCGAGCGGACTATTAATCTATTTGTTGGCTAAGCGTTCACTGCCACACCTTGCCATTTTGCAAATATCTCAGCATCACTGTGGTTGTATTTCACATCATATTTTGGTGTGGAAAATTGTAGTAGGCATTAATTAAAAAACACTGAGGGTATAATACCTTTTCATAGTAAAATAACAGCAGTAGATAGAATGTCGCAGAATAGTTAACTTTAAAGGACACTTCTATTAGTGAAAAGTGAGCTCCTGCTTCTGTTCGCTAAGAAAATTAAACGAATTTTCTGTTAATAGTACATTTCTTAAAATCCTTTCGCCCAGGAGATTCTCTTTAAAATGTCTTATAGATAAATTGTGTCACTTTTCGCTTCGAAACCAACAATTCCGAGAGATCGACGGAACAGATAAAGATTTAGTCCGACCGTCGGCGCATCAGGTGGTCGTGGTTCAACTTCCATTCTCATCACTTTTCAAGAACTCTGATTTTATCGTACACACTGCCTAACCAATACTACGGTAATTTATTAAGTGCGATAAGAATAAAGTGTTTTACCACTTTAGATCGTTTCCGAATACTAGATAAAGAGCTGGTACTTCACACTTGAATGATCCACTTTCACATAGAATCGCAAGTAGGAACGCACCACATTTTCTAGCAAGCCATTATGTTGTTTAGTGACCCTACCAGTAAGGAAAAAAAGTAGGCAGTAGTTGAAAAGTTATATACTATGTTGTTATGTTGGTGATTTGATCCAGAAATTCGCTGTAATCCATATAAACCCTCGTCAAGCCGTTCTCACGTTGTCATCACAGAAACTCGTTGTTGGATTAGGTCTCCTTGAAGACGGCGGTTATTCCTGCTATTTCGCTTACGCGTAGTCAGAGTCACAGGTTGTAATTCTATTCTGAACAGTGCCAACTTAACCGACTTTTGTAGGAGACGATCCTCGAAGTCCAGCGCTGTTAGATAACTGGAATCATTTCATAGTCACACATAAGCGCTATCCCAATGATGGATATTTCAATCTATCAGTTTCGAAACAGAAAGTGATTCATATGAAATAGATAGCTTGCTGCTGCCTAGGTGTTTCGTTCATCGATAAAATTCCCGGAAGAGTTCATGGTTTTACGACAGCTAGGAGAAGATTCTTGAGTGTCGAAACTCGATGTGGAAGATAGGATGATGGTTCGTCTCCGAGGTCCGCCCAAAGCGAGAGCTAGACCTCAAAAGCCAAAAAGAAATACGTGGGAGCAACTGTGCTTCAGCCAAACAAGGAGAGTTCGTGAGCTAAAAAGCAAATTGATATTTTCACCTGCAAGCCCAGTTAAAAGCAAAAATTTGCTAAAAATCATTACCATCGTGGAAGTAACGTACTTACAAGCTGGTATGTACGACAACTCAAATTTTACACAACCAGCGAACGATTTGCCAGTGACATAGAAGTTTTACTAAGACATGTAGAAGCTTCTTTAATCGTAATAAGGGTCGCTCAACTGTGCAAATGATAACAGAAATTATCAACAGGCTAGTTTTTCAAGGATGAACCACGTACATGTTTCGTGATACGACTGAACTCATATTTTTGAAAAAGCACAAGCTAACTAGCCAATTAGTCTTACCATACATTGAAAAAAATTTGTTCAAATACAACTCTAAAAATATGAAGGCATAAGATTCATGATAGTTAGTTAAACTCCAGATATCCGACCTAACGCTTTAATATCTTTAACGGTCATCTCGAGCAAATTCTCATAACTCAGCGCCATTCTCGGGTTGACCGCCACGAACCTCTTCGCGACTAATGTTAAGATCCGTTAACGTAGCCGACAACGACCAATCTTTTTCGATTTTGAGATGCTTCAGAATATTATCATTCATAAAGATTCATCGAATTACTTGATTTACCTGTGCACGACGAGTTCAATTTTGTCTCGTGAGGTGATGAGAAGACGATCAACAGCGTTGATGTCGAGGTTCCCAAGTCCTTCAAGTTGATCGAGAATATCGCCGTTTCGAAGCCCGGCGCGGTCAGCTAGCGAACCACCGACAATCTGGCGTAGAACAAACAATTATACCTCAAAATATAACATCACAGACGACACGAAGAAAAAATAAACAACGACAGAAATAAGTTAAAGCTGAGGAATCGAGAAAACAGATATTATACGAAGAGAATGTCAGTGATGACTGACTGTTAGCTGATAGATACTAAAGGTTTAGACAGCTCTGCATTTCATGGAAAAGTTTTGTCTACTTGTCCTTTTGTGACTATTACTGTTTGGTGACTTTTTTAGGAAAAGAGCACTAAGGACATATTTTTTGCCAGCCTGACAAAATATGTTAATCGCTCGCTCCCAATGGAAGCTAGTTTTGTAAACTTGAGGATTTTTTTGAGTCACCTGTAGTTCCGATATATTCATCAAAAAATGCCACTGGTTTCTATTGATTATTACATTTTAGAAAGTATTGTAGGATGTACCTCTTTCGAAGCACTCATAGCATCCTTCGAAACACAATCCTATACGGTGAAAATGCTTTGTCATTGTAAGACAATGAATACCGTAAATAAGTGCAAAAAAAATTTTTTTAATTAAGCGATCTTTATAAGCGCCCACTAAACCATACATAACAATTCACCATATATTGATATATTATCGATTGGTAATCAACTCTACATATTTCTCTGCAAGAGATCTCCAATCGCTTTGATACGAACTTCGAAGGCCATCGTTCTGTGGTAGATAGGTGTTGAATTTTAATGGCAGGTTCTGAGAGGCTCAGAACATCAACTACATATCCTTGCTACGTCAAGTTGGCTTGTACTCTCTATGGAAATTCTAGTCTACTATATTTCCTCGTCAACTTGCTTCAAAACCTCAATTGGAAGGCGATTTGGAGTCGTTTCCAAAAAGTCACTCCCATGTCGGAATTTCAAAACGAAAATCCAATACAGACCTTTTATTTCGTAGTCTATTACAATTATTTTAGAAAAAATATGAAAAATTGTAATAGGAAGTAAAATAAAAAGTTTATATTGTAGTTTCGACTAAAGCCTTAGTTTATTTGGGCTCCTCAGATCAATCCCGTTGACGATCACTCACTCAGGATGCTCACTAAGGAAGAAAGCTTATTGCAGTAATGGTTGGACCAAGAGTGTACAGAGATGACCATTCTCCTCGGCTTCCAGCATTACTCTGATTGAGTAATTATCGAGTGTGTTGACGAACTGTCAACCCTGCAGTATAATTATTTGTGTTTAAATGCTTAGAAGAAAGATGCTCACTTAAGCAAATATGTCATAGAACGACATTTAAATGTAATGAGGTGTTATGACAGTTTTCACATAACATAGTAGACGAACTCAACAGGTATCTAAGTAAATAGGTAACTAAACTCCAATGTTCGATTTATTTCAAAGCCACTTAAAATAAAGGCTAACATCAGTCAAAAAACAGTGACCAAGTTTTTTATGTTTGGTACGGAAATTTTTAGAAAAAAGGGTGCATGTGGGGCAGTAGTGCGGTGGTTGGAGGAGCGGAATCGATCCCCGCGCACATGGCCCACCGAGCCCTCCGTCCCTCCGGGGTCGGCAAATTGGTACCAGACTTGTCTGTGAGGACAGCAGCACTGGCTCGATACAATGGTAGGCCACCGCAAGTCATTGTAAAGGGCAGATGTGCATTCAGTTATCTCCAACGATACTGAATGAAGTCGAATGCATACCGCATCCCTCAGGGATTGATCAAGGCCGAAAGTTTCTATGGAAGAATTTGTTAAAAGAAACACGATCTGATCGATTTTTTTCGTATGCGTTTCGAGTACTGAGACCTAACAGCAAAGACACTAAAGCGCTGATTGAAGGGAGCTAAAATTTCGTTTAAGCCAATAAACTAGGTACTTTAATATGTAGACTATAGCGAAATCTGATAAAAAAAACAATGAGATCTATTGTGACGTCTCCGTCATTCAATGCTTTCTTGTTAGGTTTATTCCGTTCTCTGCATTCCTTGTACTCGTCGTTTGTTATAGAACGGTTCTTATTCATTGTGTGGCGAATATTCCTGTATTGGAAATATACTAGCGGCCTTCCTATATCCCTGCAATTCGCAGCCGGATAGAAGTCGTGAAATGTCGAGTCTTCAGGTACATATGAGTGAGGATCAATTCAGATGTCGAATAATTTACGCGTTGGGGTGTAAGAGCAGATGGTGAATTATTCGATCGGTTCACCATAATGATCGTAAAAGAGTATTCAACCTTGGCGACTTCACTCTGTAGTGTAGTTTTTAAAGCACGGAGAGATTTTGAACAGCAAACTTAAAACAATATGGAACAGGGATTAGCTAGCCACGCGAACCTAGGATGGCATGGTGTTCTTCTTTGGAAGGACTTTTTGTTTATTCTATGATGACACCATTTTTTCCATTTACATTCAAATTTTCATAATCAAATCCACAGAGAAAAAACTATTTCGCCTAGTTTGGTTTTCGTTCACTACCTCAGTCCACGATGCAAGTCATTTAGACAAAATCTATCTCACTGGTTCGACGATCATTATAGTGAACCGATCGAACAATACATCATCTGCACTTAAACCTCAGCATGTAAATTGTTCGACATTTGAATTGATCCTCACTCATATGTACCCGAAGATTATTGAACTTGTGAACTTTGAACAAATATATCTCTGCTTTGAGCAAACATTACCAATTTAAATAAAAGGCATTGGAATATGCAGTTCATCGTCTGTCGGACAAAGTTTTTCCATATATAATGCTGTGATATTTGCAAAACCCCGAACCGCAGGTGTCTACGGTGGAGAACGAACGCTCTATTGCCCTTACCGGGGAGAAGCGCACTTCACCACCACACCATCCGGGTCCTCAGTTCTTCCTGTCTCTCAGCTAGTTCTATCGATCTTTTTGCCATCAGCAATCACCCGCCAACGGGATAGATCTGGGGAGCCAAAAAAAGATCGATAGAACTAGCTGAGAGACAGGCAAAGCGATGGACCCGGATGGTGTGGTGGTGAAGTGCGCCGGTCCCCGGTAAGGACAACAGCGCGACAACGCAACATACCCTGCCATTAAAAAAAGGCAGTAAATAAAAGGATTAGGAAAGTTTTTCCATGTTTGAAAAATTCTGACTTCATGGAGGCCAGAAATCATATTTTCTCCCAACGGTTTACCGCCTCATCGTGGCTGTGAGGTGTTCCTGGGTGCCCGGCTACGATGTAGAGCGGGAGGTTTTTCCCTCTGGTAGGGTCACCAAGCTAATAAGGAGTCCGGCGTTTCCATCAGGAAGCCTAGCTAAGAGTAAACCAATACCAGGATCTATCAACATCCTGGTATTAAAGTCGCATGGCGGCAAATTTCCCTCTGGTCCACAATGGCTGCAACTGCCTGTGGTAGTGAAGACCTAAGGTCAGACTCTGGCCACCTCTGAATTCCAGGGAACCACAATGACTTGAACATCAAATCTCCGAAAAATGGAGATTATGCTAGAGTCCGTACAACTAATTGAGGGCGAGTCATTCAAGTATCAAGTAAATAAGAAATCGTATTTTTTCGTCCTTTTTCCTCTGCTGACTTGTATTTCAAAGAGCGAAACTGTCGAACAAATGAGATTTCATGCAGCAGGACGTGATGGTCTCCTTCAACTCGTCGCTGTTATTGCGATTATCAGACCAGCGTTATAAACATAAAACAGCCCGATTTTCTCTTCGATTTTCTCAAAATCTAAATTTTGAGCACTTTAAAAATAAAATAACGTTCTTGAAAACACATGTTTACAATTAGGATGATAGACCAAAGTTTTTCTATACGTTCAGTTTCTCAGATCCTTAAGCATTCTAATTATCGAAGTATTATTGGCAGCTGTTTAAAAAGAGATCGAAAAGGTGTGAAGACGAGGAGCACCTGCCAGTGGTACATCTGCTTGCTGAATTTGACTCTAACTGAGTAATAATTTTATAGAACACTAATAAACCGATGCCTAAACTAGTCCCTATGTTGAAACTCTTATAACTACAATTTACTAAAAATGGTATAGTTGCTGTTGATTAGTTGAACAATGAAAAACTTTCTATATATCATAAGAATAGGCGCCAGGATCCGATAACTTCTTAGCAAAAGTCGAGCAAACAGAAGCGTTAAGAAAAAAATTCCTATCTTCCAAGATTTACATAACGACGACGGGTTCTACCACACTGCCTTATTCGTTAAGCAAAGAGCATAAGATATCGCTAAAGAAACCACCTTTGAAGAAACGAAAACAGATATTATCGTTATTCGTATAGCCTCACCTATCAGCTAGTACCTCGATCCGGCATTAGTACAGCCCTCATTTGTCCTCGCTGGACTCCAGAACAGGGCAGTGAATTCTGGTCGCATAAAGAACAAAAAGTGTAATATATTTTCGACATAAAGCTATTTTTTCACTCTTTTGAGAGCAATATAACAACGGAATCTCGTTGGGGTCCTATTTATTATACATTATTTTTCATCTGGCATTTCCAGATGGAATTGTCGAACAAGTTCCCAGTTTGATAGACCATTACGAAAAGTGGACGCTGGCCAAACATTATAATCTGATGCCCTAGAAACATGTTGATGCCTCTATAACGCTGTGAACAAATGGGAGCTTTATACGCTATCGAGAAAAAAAGAATGGGACGAAAATAAATCCTTCGTTTTGGCTCTTCATTTCTGCTGTTTTCTCGTATGTTTCCGTGTCAAATGTCACGACTAGGCACGAGATCAGATGGTGTCACGAGATGCTTCACCTTTGACGTTCATAGATGCACTAATTTCATCTAGAACTTGCAGCTTTCCTTGTTTTAATACTCCTCTTAGCTAACCACATCTCTGTTGATCATAGGGACGAGAGATGAAGGAGCGATGGTCGAACACCAATTGTCAATAACAGCGGTCCGTACTATCATAAAAAATACTCTATGTTATCACTGGCTCATCGACAACTGTAGTCGAAGCAAATAATTTGCTAGTGAGCGCACAAAACCTAGTGAAACTAGGTAGTTCAAATAGATAAT